CAGTAAAAAATAGGTAAAGAGAAAAACAAAGGTAAAACGCTGGGCTGCAGGAAGTGTGGTGTGGCAATTCAATCCAGAAGAATTAGTTGAAAAATGATGACTAAGTAAGTATGGCCAGCCTTGCCTTCAAGAGGCCAAGGCAACTGGATACTGCCGTCGTGCACCGTGAAGTTGGACTGTGTTCCTTAACTTTGTACTGTTGACACATTCTGTATACTCTTTTTTCCCACAAGGCTCAGCGGTCGTCTGATAGCCAACAGTAGGTCTTATCAAAGACTGTGGCAGACGCTGCAGAGCACGGATTTATGGAGCACGGCCATACCTCCACCAAGCTGGACTGTGTTGTTTCAATCTCCACTGATTGGTAGCGCTGGCAGTCGTGCAAACTATGAGTGACCACAGATGTTTTCACAACCCAGTCGAAAAGTGCAGATGGACTACTTACTCGGCAACTATGTCCCTCCCACACCCTGTTACCCCGAAGGGTTACAGAGTGTTGGAGTGGCATAGTCATCCACGATCACGATGACTGATATTTGAGTGTCCTCAAATATCAGTCACCTCCGGGGATTGAACCCAGGACTTCAGTGTTGGCAGCGAACTGTCTTGACCACTACACCACTGAGGCTAACAAAAAATGATGAATAATATAAACTAAAAATAGGGATGAAAAGGTCTGAAAATCTGTGTTAAACAACATGTTGAGTATGTTACGATTGGCATAACCCCCCCCCCCCCCCCCCCGAAACGTCTTCACAAGACAAGGGGACAGCAAAATCTTAATGGCCTAAGGGCAGCAATTATGTAAATCCAGCCATGACTTCGGGAGCAAAAATATTTTGATCTCTGTATTATGAGGCAAATAAACTTTATTGTGTGATTACTTACATTCGATACATATGGATTGCATTTAGCATAAAGGAACCAGCGCGATTACTGTGTTGTAAAAATGTTGCTTCTTCATAAGTATCCAAGAAATCTCCCCGAGTTGCAAATAGTTTCTGCTTCCCACAAAAAAATTTGTAATTTCAAAGGAAAGTAATTGTGTAAATTTTAATACTTTACATATGTTGAGTATTTTTAAAAGTAAAGAAGAAGTTGCACGATTTGAAAACTCTGTAATTGCGCTGGTTCATTTTTGCTGAATGCGATCCATATAAAGCTCCATCATTTTGAACTTTTATCTCTTTTTTTTTTAGGATATGGAGCTATAAATGAAGATGACCAAGATGATTGCTGGTCGATTTTTACAGGGAGTCCTTCCAAAGGCAACAGATCTTGTACATACGATCCACACTAATCCTGCTATTAGATATTCTACTTTGAATATTGTTTCAAATAAAATCAAGCCAGCATTAGAACCATTCAGGACATCACCGACCTATAATAATCGACTGTATAAAAATTTTGGACACAAAGACCCAGAGCCCAGACACAAACCTGGATCATTCATAGCAAGATACATATCTTGTTTCAATGTGTTTCTATATATTTGTCCTGTTCTCATCTTCCTCAACTGGAAAATGTAAGAAATCTTCTATGTTTTTGACTTATTAAATTTGGCCTTATTTTAGTTAGCAGCAGGAAATAGCTGCAACTGTAGAGTATAATCCGTAAATTACAAAAATGACTCGGTGCACTCCTTTGGATCAGTGAATTTAGGTCAACAAGTACCATTCATGAAGTTTGTTGGGTCTTAATTATGTTAAATTTACTCATAGTGCCCAGGTTTCAAGATCTACAAATCAATAATAAAATACACTAAAAGAGGCTGAAATTGTCTAAGATTAAATTACTTGCATAAAAGTCAAAAATAGTTTGGCCAAAAAATGCAATTTTATATACAAAAATTACGAAAAGTAGAAAATTAAAGGTACATAATAAACCAAATGGACGTAGGACAAAATGTTTTTGATTATTTGCTAGTATTTTTTCAAACAGTTTTACCACTATTTCAAATTTTCATAACCATTTCTAATTTGTTAAATCTTCTTTGATTTCTCTTTCTGAGCATCCTACACAGTGGCGAAACTATGCAATTTCGAAATTTCAAGTAGAATTTTTTTCAAATACTCATATGAAACTTACTGATTTGTTTCAAATCGAAGATTATGAGCTCAAAACAAGTAATTATCAAAATTTTCCCACCATTGTTGGAGGCATCGTGTTTTTCTTTTCAACCTCTCATGCTTCACTTGAGCACAAGGAAAGTGAATAAATTCAGCTCTTTAAGTATGTTGTGAGGTAATTTTTGGTAAGGATTGCAAACCTAGCCCCTGAAGCGAAAGTTTCATGTTTTCCATGTACTTTGGAGCCTTATGAAATTTTACGTAATATTTCATGACAATCTCCGATCTTTCATACGTCTCTTTACTTTAATGCCACCCTCATAAATCCTAGAGTTGTTCTCCAAAGAAATGTCACAAGAATGTGGTCTATAGTCAATTTATCCCTCTAAAAAAGGAAGGACTTTTCGAATAATTGCAATCAACTCTCAAGATTTCTGTACATTCACCATGGATAAGTCCTCACGTACGTAACTCAAACAATGAATGAAGTATCATCTCATATTTAAGTATGTATACCAATATTTAACTTTTTTTCCCCAATATTTTCTCAGTAAATTTTTAGCTGTGATTAAACTTAACTTGTCCGTCAGTTGCCCGATAACCTCTGGGAAGACAGGCATATGTGGCGTTTGGGTGTCGTAGAATGCCAGAGTGCGTTATAAAGCGACTTTATATATATATTAAACTTAACTTTTTTTTTCTCTGCTCACAGGGTTGGTCAGAAGTTGGACATACACTTGTTTGATGACTACAGAGCGACAGAAAATCTAGATCACCTTTATCCTGAAAGGCCTTCGGGTCCTCTTGATTGAGTGAATTTGGTCACGAAAAGGAGAGACAAGATAACTCTTTCTTTCTTCCTTTGTTCCCCCCTCTCAACAAACACATTTTTTGTTAAAAAACTTTTTTTGCTTTCTATTCTGTTAGGAGTATAACATTAGACTTGTTACTTTTGCAACATTTAAAATGGTATGAAAGTTTCCTGTTTAATGTTAATCAGTGTGTCACTCGACCACAAGAGTGGAGGTCACAAAAGTGTTTGATTGGTTAAGAAGGGCATAAGTCTCCTCAACGACAGAGAATACCTACCTAACTATAACATGACTTTTAGCTAATCATGACTTACGAGGACTTTTACAACTGAGGAAAGCATGCATGGATCAATTTCATCACCATCTTCTACTTGTGTTTCAACTTTTTATTTGATTCATTTTTGTTAAATTTTCTGCTGTAAATAAATGCATATTAAGGAAAGAAGAATCTAAATGGCTGGTTTACCGACAAAATCCCGCTATAATTTTCACGATATACAAGGAGAGACCCAAACAAAACCGGAATTTTGATGTAACTTGGCAACGATGGAAAATATTCGGGTGCCACCGCTAGGAGGTGTAACTAGGAGCTATGAAAAGTCACTATGCCAAATTTCAACTTCGTAGCACACTTTCTTTAATTTTGGCGAGACATGGTTTAAGGGGTTGTCTGCCGAGTTCGTCGTTTTTGAAGATGAGTGATTTTCACGGGCAATACGCGGCTAACTCTGTCAATTTTTGGAGTGAATCTTGCAGGGAACATGTTTCAATCACGACATGAGTGAATAAATGTTTTTCTTCGTTTTATAGTGTGATTTATTGTTCGAACTTCGGCTGGACGCCCAGTGGCAGTCACTGGCCAGAACGCTAAATGGGGTGTCAATTCAGCAACAACGCGTTTTAGGCCAAATTTTTTTACAGAAATGTTTCGAATGTTTCTGTATTACATTCAAGTGATATCTACTAGTTAATTAAATAATCTATAACCACCCTCATTCACAAAAATGCAATTTTTTTTTATTATTATTTGCATCGGTTCTATCCAATGGCGATGGCGGTTTGGAGCCATACAGGGGTTTCGGGCGAGACAGCACCATTTTTAAAACGAAAAACTGTACTTAAACTGAAGTTTTTGATGCGCATTGTCCTCCAGAAGCGGCACTTCAAAATGTTAACAGAGGAAGTCGTTTTTATATCGAATAAGAGAGAAAAACTTGAGCGCTAAGTAATTGACCCATCTTCAAAAACGATTAACTCGTCAGACAACCTCTTAAACCATGTCTCGCCAAAATTAAAGAAAATGTGGTACGATGTTGAAATTTGGCATAGTGACTTTTCATAGCTCCTAGTTACACCTCCTATGGCGCTGGAATCCGAATATTTTCCATCGTTGCCAGTTACAGCAAAATTCCGGTTTTTTTTTTGGGTCCCTCTTCGAATACCCATAGATCTGTACTCTTTTAATGGTCCTTAGCTTAGGTCTAGTATTGAGAGAGGTTGTAGTTGAGTAGAAGAGAATAAAAACACACTAGCTTGGAAAAAAGAAAATATTCAAGGGACACCAAAAACTGCGAAATAGGTGAAGAAGTAGGTCTAAGAAAAAGCGTTTTGGTGCCAAAGGACAATTACTTTGGGACACTGTGAAAGCCCAAGTTTACATAGATGCACCATCTTCAATGGTTTTTACGAAAATTGGGCATTTTTAAGTTGCCAAGTTGGTATGTTTTTATTCTTACGGATTTAGAAAATACACAAAATACTAGAGACTACGGAGCATTTATAGAAAACACGGAGTTGAAAATGTATACAATATTTGAAGTTTATTTCCTTTTAAATGATGTTATTCTCAACTGAAGTGTTTCTCATTATTCCAAAAATTGATAACAGAAAGATACAAAGTCATGAATAATATTGCATTAATTTAATAAGATCATTATAAAAATTTGGGTGGGGTTAATGCACCAACAGACAAGATACAAATTTTTTAAAGGTTCCCTCTTTAAAATTTTACATAAAGCACAATTCGCAAGATGAAAATTACTGAGATTAACCCCTAAGGAAGATGTTAACGTTTTCATTTAGCAGTTTTTACAAGTAATTTGAATTTCCCACTTAAAGAAAAAGCCAGAGTTTACGTCAGTCAAATCATGCACTCAAAGGGTTTTGATAACTAGTATTCCTTAATTAAGCAGTGTTCTTTTCCTGCCAAGTGTTATCCTAAGTGTAAACCAATGTGCAACAGTTGTGCCAAAGCACCAAGATTGGGGTTGCCCTGTGATCATAGGGCAAAACAAAACTGTTAAGATAACTTTTAGTGTACAATTTCACTCAAGTGGATTATGGTTTTCTTATGGGCGGGAAGTTTGAATTCATGCACAGAAAAACAATATCTGGGTCAGGAGTGACTTTTAATGATTTTTGTTGCACAAATTGTGTTTAATATGAAAAATAGATAAGAAACTGTACCTTGTCTAATGGTCTATTTTGAAGTTAAGAACTATATCTTAGGGCGAAAAAGTGAAAGGAAGAAACTATAAGGACAATTAAAAAACAGATAGATAAAATAAGAGCATGTGATCAACTTTTGGTAATCACAGACTCATTAGGCTGCAAAAAAACAGAAGCAGCAATTGAGCGAGCATGAGTAGGTAGATATATTTTTGCCAATCAAAATTCAACCAATTAAAGTTGTGGCATTTAAAATTAAATCAGCAGAGGAGACACTACTTAAAAGTCAAGAAATTAAGGCTAGGCTCCTAAAAAATTTAAAAGTGAAGTTTCAGAAGGGTGGCTGCGTATTGACAGGTTTAGTTTCGGCACTACAATCCAGGAAGAATTAAAATACTGAGATAGCGAACTAATAGTAGTACCAACCCAACTTTGTGAACTGGAAATATCGATGGTTGGGCTCAGAAACCTTGTATCTCAACTGCAGAGCTTCAAAATCTCCCCCTCTTACTTTATTTATTTTTAAATTAAACGAGGCAACGTAATCTCTTGTTTCACAAAATATTCATTTACTAGAGAAAGAGTAATGTAGAATTCAGGAAATCACATTGATCCGTTTCTCAATTAAAAGAAAAATAATGTATGACAGGGAGTAGGCGACATTACAAACCAAAACATGTGGTTCACGAGTTTAGAAATCAACATGGTCTCTAAGACAAAAATAAATGGGCCCTCAGCAATTTCACAATAACAAACTAGTGCAACTGAACTGTTATTCATATGCCCCTCAAAGGTATGATAATACAAGCTAAACTGGTAAAAAGCTCATAAAAATGAAGTACCGCAGCCAGCAAAATGATGGAAAAACAAGACAAGAATGTACAACAAATTTAACAATGCTTAAACTCAACGTTCAATTTACCGCTTATATTTTACTATTCAACTTGCCGAAGTCTTGCAAGTCGTTGGGTAAGCTCATCCTGTTCTTGCGATGCTTGAGAAGCAGTTCCAATGCTGGCAGGTCCCGTTGGCAATTCCATGTTCAATTCAAGACTGAAAGTTAAATTGAATTTAAATTAGCAAGTTGTAAAAGCTCGAGGTAACTTTGACAAATGTTCCAATGGTGATGTTGTACATACACATTTAGGTAAAACCATAGCAGCAACTCAGAAATGCAATTTTTAAAGATAGATGATGGAATCGACTTTGGAAAATAAACCAAAATAAACTTAACTTTGAATCATTCAAAAGTTATCCTGTTAAGTAAGGACTGGTGGCATCAAATAGGTTTTATCTTAGTGAGAAAGAGAGATCGCAATTACACATTTACTGCTACCCAAAGAAATTTAGGAAGTCACAGTAAATTAAAGTCCAAGAGACTATATGAATCTAGATTGAGGTAAAATAACCCCATTATTATTTTCTTTAATCCATTCTTCCTCCTTAAATATTCACTTCAAACAGCAACAATATTGTAAGCACGAAGGAGATATAAAACCTTTCATTACAATTAAAACCTAAAAATAAATAAACAAAAGCAGATGAAAGGATACACTGCGGCAAATTTTTCTTGTGACATCATGAAAGCTGTTAACGGGCTATTTTTCTGTTTGAAACAGGTTGGATTTAAAAGTCTTTCGCTCCGCCAAAATTTGATCCAATGGAAAACAGAAAAATGTAATGGCATTTCTGATGGATTCCCCGATAATTAATTTTAAAAAATCTGTACAACAGACCCTCTAAAGCACCAGAAAAATCCTGGTTGGTCGGTCAATATTTGAGGTGATTTTGAACTGGTTTCCCACCTTCACAAGGCAAAGAAATAACTAAAATAGGTTAATCTGATAGGCCAGTAGACAGTGTAAACTCACCTTTGAGTTTTAGGAGCCATGTGGCACATCAAGCCCAATTTTTAGGCGCCATTGAAGATTTTTTAGGGGCCAAATTGACTTTTAGCCTATATATTACGGCGCATTTAGTGAAAAGTTAGACGCAACATGTTTTTGTAACAGAAATAGTAAGTAGCTGTAACTTGGGGAAAACAAAAGCACAAAGAATGAAATAGTGAAGAATAGAAAAAGCAAGCTTTCTCTTGGAGTGCTGAAAATTCTGAGTTTTTTCAATTCAAATAGATTTGTTTTTCTTTCTTCGTGTGACTTCCTGTGAAAATCCAGGTTTTTGAGGGGCAATTTTTAGGGACCATGTTGGCGCAGAGCCTTCATTTTTTAGGCGCCATGGCCGATTTTTTAGGCGCATTTGGCACGTTGGCACCTATGAGTTTCGAACACTGCCGGTAGACTCTATCACTTTTACATTGACAGTCCAACCTTGATCTGATACCTCGTCAAAGCCTATATAAATCATATAAAACCTTGACTGTCTGTTGGGTAAAGAACCCTTTTCTATTCTGAAATTCAAAGAGAATGATACTAACCCTGCTTCATCCGCAACTTGCTGCATTAGGTTTTCAACATCAGACTGAGGAACAGATGTTGTGACCGTTTGAGACATTGTGTTCTCCATCACACTACTTTGTACATCTAAATCTTCAAACTGATTTTCAAATTTATCCATCAATGATGATATTTTTTCCAAGTTCATTGATTTCATGGCTGCATCCATAGCTTTTACTACTCCTGCCATAGACTGCGTGACCTGCGAAGTTAAAAAATTGATGAAAGGGGTGAAACCTAGTAATTTAAATGGTTTACTCTCATAAGTACTACTCCAGGTTTAAATTTAGAGAAAAGACTAGGTAAGAGAGTTTTCTAGCGAGTAACTAAAAAATTTATGGGTGCCCAACAATACCTATACATGAATCTGAGTAGCCGTATAATGATTGTTACAACTCTTTCAATATACTGGATTTTTTTTTTAGAAAAAAAAAAAATATATATATTACTTATAACAATCAATAAACATCGCAATATAATTCTCTCAATTGAGAGACAGGCCAGCAAAATTTTTCTTCAAGCAAGAAGATAATTTTAATTTACTTGAAAGAGAAAGTCGTGACCACCAAATAAAAATTACAATAAAATTTTTCATTTCCAAATAATTAATAATGTGATGAAAACCTCACATGTTCTTTTCATGAAATGTGGGAACTTCAACTAAGTTGACAGCATTAAAAACTTTGAAAACTTAAGGAGCAAAACCTACGTACTGTTCGGTTACGAAGTGATGTCCTAATGTTAAAAGTCACTGCAGTAGAAAGTGAAAAAAGGCTCCTGGTTGATATTTGACTATCATTGTCTCTTAGAATTAAAATGATGAGGATGGGGCAGTAGGTAATTTAAACTAAAAAAAATTGCAGAGGTAGATTGGTGCAGGATTACTAGAAAAACGAAATAACGCTAATATCTAATGTAATTAAAACGTTCTTGGAGAAAAAACTTCTGAATCAACATCTGCATTGTTGAAAATCTGTACAACCATAAATGAGCGCTCTGGCTGCTAAAGTATAACAATTAAATGTCATTGGGTTACAGTTGGTCCTCACAGCAATATTAGGGTTGTCATGTGATTTTTAAAATTCTGGATGTTAATTCTGAAATTTTTCCCCCAGTTTGTAAAGGACTATGCACAATTCAACTGGAGTGCTAGCACTCTATGAAAACGCCTGGGAGTATTCTTCGGCCCTGCCACAGTTTGGAGACCTGATGCTTCATCCCTCCAGTTTTTTTGTCATTTGATTTCAGTTATGGTATAAAATTACGATAAATTGTTTCACCTTGCGTGTGGTCAGAGCAGTTTGAACTCTGCTAGCAACGGCATCAACACGAGCACTCATCCGTAGATAATTCAAGGACTGATTCTTCTGTCGAATGGCATTTTCAGCATGGATTCTAGCTACTTCCACATTTCCTTTTTGAATGGCCTTCTTTGTTTTGGCTTTCTCAAGCTTTTCTTCCTTTTCACATTTTTTGGAGTTTCTTTCAAGTTCTTTGACAGCAAACTTCAAATTAAAAAGATGATCTGAAGTTAAAAGGTTAAGGATAAACCTAAGAATTGGAAAGGGTGCTAGGGTTTAGCACGTCAAACTCAACTTACATACAATGGTGGTTCTATTGTCAAATTTTACGGCTACAGTCAAATAAACCACAAAAATTTCTGTCCTTGGAAACAAAGTAAGCTTATTTCCAACATTCAGACTTTCCAGTCAATATCAATGACCCAGTCCGGGTAGAAAGCAATTCATGCAAGACGCTTCCCCTTCAATCTTGGAGGGGAACCGCACTCATAAACTGACACTTCCTCAAAAGTTCTCGCATTGGAAGGACCAATTGGGCTTTCGCATCATGAAATAACTGAGCTAAAACACATTTATGAGTTTGAGGAAGAGATAAATAAAAAAAGTAGAGAGCCAACAGCCATTGGTTCGCATCCTGAGATGATATGGCCATGAAGAATCGGGTAGTGCTGCGGTAAGAAGAGGAAATACAAATTTTTTCAAGTAAAAAATATTATACATCGAGAAGAGAAGTAATCGGGCAAAGTGAACTGTAATTTTGCCTTTGAAACAGTGAGCAAAGGACGGGAGTGAATTGCTAGGACAATGGGCATTCCCCACTGAGTGAGTCATGACAGAAGTCTTGACTTCAGGAACTGTGATAAGATAAAAAGGATACTTTCCATTGCTGAAGACATCGTCACTGAAAATAAACTTAACTCGTGGAAGAAATATTAAAAGCTGTAACTATTACAATACGGCAGAAATAATTTCAAACAATAAAAGAGCGATAAATGGAAAAAACTTATCAATTTTTGACTTGACAGGATTTCGTAATTGTTATTGTAGCAACTGATGATGCGAGGTTAGGGAACACGATTCATCGGACTCAGCAAACGATCAACGGTGAGTAATAATGACGTCATCATCCAAATTCAAGCTTTCTTGATTCTTCATGCTTTCTTCTGCTGGGTACTGAGGAGAACTGTGTCATTTAATTTGAGTGATAAAAGTTAATTCGTTATAAGGAAAATCCCCAAATAAAAAAGTTCAAATAACTTTAAGGGGAAATTCTCATATGCTCATACTATATATTCCACCGATGATTATTACGAGCTCACCGGATGAGAAGTACATAGTTGCTAAGTCGCAATATTAATTTTAAAAAAAACATGTTTTATGTAAGCATGAAGTATCTTTTTCTTAAACTTGACAATCATGCATAAACGACTGCTTTGCTTTGTTTACAAACGCATGTTGCTACTGCATTACGAATTCCGGTGGCAAATTCTTTCGTCTATTTTATCGTTTCTTTTTATCCAGTTTTTTTCAAGTGCTTTCTCGCCGCTGCCTGCTGCCTCTTGTTCGACAGCTCTGAAGAGAGTGTTATCACTGTTTCAATGATTCCTAAGCACTGTTGCTTAATTAATCTGATTTGAGTCTGCTTTACCAAACACTGAAAGTCGAGAGAGTAAACTCTGCCCTCTGCCCTCTTTCCTTTGTAAGTATACGCCTCATTTTTTAAGTTAAGATGTCCACGAGATGAGACCTAAATGCCATAATTACAAGGTTCAATTGCCTTAAATTGATTCAATATTCAAAGAAAGGTTTTACAATTCTAGTCTGATCTAGAGTACCTGTATAGCGAGAGTATGGACAGATGTGAAACTCCGAAAATCCATCAGGCTTTCACCGATGCTTCTGCGAATAAAGTTAGGGCCCAGAAATGCAGCCAACCTATGAATTTCAATTATCCAGAACGATTTACTAATACTATTGTTACGAACCGTCGTTTATTAAGCACGTGTTTGACTCAGTTTTTGCATAAATTTACTTAATTTCGCGGAAGAACGCTCATTTCTGTACATTCTTTGCCATCATGGTTAGAATTGGAATCTGCAGACTGGCAGTGAAATTTTGTGCGTTAGAAGTTGGTTAGAAGGGTGGCTGCACTTTTGGGCCCTAAGCCCTCCATGAAGCGATCTGTCCATACTCTCGCTATACAGGTACTCTAGTCTGATCTGTTGCGCAGCCAGAAGACAAATCTGATGACACGCAACCTCCAATCAAATAAAAAGCTTTTTCTTCTCTGTGAGATTTGCAAAGGATCTGTTCAAAACTAAGGAGGACATCATAAATTTATTTTCGGACCATGACACTGGTGGATAATTGCTAAGAACAAGGAACCTGATCAACAGGTTAATGGGGAATTGTCATAGAATTATTCAAGAGTTGCATTAGTTACTATTGTGAGGGTGAAGCACTGGCAGATCCAGCAAATCGGCAACGTCGTTTTTCTCCATTTAAACCTATGGAAATGTATCGATTCTTAGAGGGGCCAGATGCTCCGACAAAAATCGATTTTTTCCAAAGGTTGAAATGGATGAAATCCGGTGTTGCTAAATCGCTGGATCCGCCTCTGCAGTGAAGTCCAATTCAACTTTTCCTCCAACTTCAATGCGTGGAAGTATCTACTGTGTTCTTCAAATAGGAAAAATTCCCATTCAATAGAGTGGGAAAAAAAGTTAAGTGTAAAGTTGGACCATGTGAATTAAGCTTTAGATTATACTACCTATGATCATGAATGACTTTTCAGTTTCTTCCCCTCTTTTCATCCAACAAGGTGTAATATTAGTTAAAAAACTATTTTATTTAGTTACATTGGAGAAATATACCTAAAGTAATTGTGTTTACCTCTCAGAAAATCCAAAATCTTGCACAGTTTGTACAAAGTCATGGTCTGACGTGAAACTCTTCAATATTTCCTTGTATACTTCATTTGCAGTAATTCGGTTGGAGGTTTTGTTGACAAAGTGAAGGTTTTTCATTAGACAAATACTGACTTAAGTGGCAAGCAATAGTTGTAAATAATAGCCAAGTACAAGCAGAAAATTAAATTACTTTCACGAAAAAGGCAGCTTAAAAAAGAATCATCTCTCCTGACAGTCAAATGAACTTTATTTTACAAATATGCTTTGTAAGTATACATTTCTTATTTGATACCCCTTACTTTGAAGATCCAGTATAGTGGCAATAGTGTAATAGTGGCAAGCTGTATGCCTGTCCCACCATATTAACTTGACGAAAGAAATTTTGTGAATTCAGAAAATTACCTATCTCTTAAATGACACTCTTAGGAATTGAAGACACTTTCATTATGCACCAATACAGTTTTTGAACTCACTGCTTTCATCACACTTGACAAGTTCAATTTGCTGCTAGCAGCCTGTTTTAAGACCTAGGAAATAGGTAATGATTATGAGTTGCACCAATCATATTTTCAGTGCTGATGCTGAGAAAGAACTGATTGTTCTCAATTGAAATTTTCATGGTTACATTATGACTATAATCGCAATCTGAATGTATATCCAAGGAATTTTCACTAACTTTGGAGCAACTACTTTCAGTCGATATTGAAATGATTCTGCCCACTAATCAAGTGCATTTTTCCACAGGTTTTCTCAGATTTCTTCGCTCAAAAACTTTCAAGCTTTCAAAACTGTCAAATGAATTGAGACAATCATTATTTATCACCGGAAGCTTATCTATTAATCAATTTCTCTTCATCACCATCTCTCACTTTTGAATCATATCTCCTAAATACAGTCTTCACAATTTTCTGTGTCTTAGAGGTGAATGTGTTGTTTGTTTTCTGAACGCCCTCAAAGTCTGCTCTCTGTTGAATGCCCTCGGGAATACCAAATTCCTTGGTTGAAAAGAGTGGATCTACTTCAGCACAGGATTGATACGGTGACCCAGGTTTAACACTGTAGTAGCTTGAATTGTTCTCATCCACCGGCTTGTCATTTGTAAGGGGTGACCGAGGATGATGTGCAACTTTCTGTCGATGGCGTTTCTTACTGACAGTATTTTGAAAAGATCTATTTAATAGCCTTTGATGCTCCCCAATTTTTTGCATCTCTGTGTCCGTGTGGTGAATGTCTGCGGAAGCAATGTTGCTTTTTTTCATTAAACTTTGAGCATCACCACAAAGATCATCCTTTATCTGCAAATTTACATTCTCAGTACCCCTTTGGTTTGGATAATCCCTCTCCAACATTTCTTTTTTATCTGGGGCTTTACTGTCTATTTTATAGTACTGTTCCTTCATTGTTAAAGGTGTTGTTGCTGATAAAGAACATAAAAATTTCTCCTGATGCATTATATTTTCTGATTCAGTCATCGGACATGGCATGGGTGGTTTATCCAAGGCTGATGGTTTTCTACTGGTTCCCAGTTTAGAACGCATCATTGCACTCTCATTTTCGCAAGTAAAATTTAGTCTTTTTTTACCTAATTTTTTATTTTTATTACATTTTACACATTTAGAAGCCTCTTGATTTTCATCGACATTCTTTTTTCCAGCATGGAAAAGCTCCGTCATGCTTGATGCTTCATTACTTTCTTGTTGTATTGCTTGAAGATCTTTTTTTAGCTGCAGTGTTTGCGATTGTTCAGCTGTTGGTTGCAACGATGCTGACATTTGTTGCGTGTACAGCCTTGATTGTTGTCGCACATCACATGGAAAATGTGGATCCATCAGTGGGACTTGACCTTTGGAATATTTTTGTTGAGCATAACTCAGTGGCAGACCTGATTTTGCATCTTCTGGAATAAAACTGAGGTTTTCAGGCTTTTTACTATCCATCAAATTGTCACTAAATCTTCTGTTGCCAATGTTCTGCTGCGTAATTACACTCAGACTCTGTTTTTGCTCGTCATAGTCTCCATAGCCTTCTTTCCTCTCTGTACTTGCATTTAGTTCAGTCATTGGTATTGTTTTATGTCCCGATTGGAGTTGATCCATAATCAAAGAGTGACTCAATTTCCTATCATCAACTATGTGCCCCAATTCATTGGGAGTACCACTTGTGTATTGGGCAATAACATTATTGGCCGGCTGAATTTCTTCCATATTCATACGGTAAGCTATGGCTTCAACTTCAGGTATGATGTCAGCGTTCCACTGAAGATTTTCATGGACCTCTTCATACTGTGGCCTGGCTTCACCAGTATTTTCTCCATAGTCTGTTATCGTATTTGTTTTTTGAACATCTTGTCCGCCTGTGCGAAGAAGAGAGTTTGGGTCAGATGCCTGATATTGTGTCACACAACCTTCGCTTTTGTTCACCTTACATTCTCCACTTGAGTATTTGGCTCTAAAACAAAACTTATCATTAGTTCTATAAAAGTGTATTATTCAATAGTATTGATATTAGTATAGTATAGTATTAGTATAGTATTGATAGTATTGAAGTTACCTATGTCTTGCCTTTGTCATTCTAAAAAAAAACTTCTTGTCAACTCAGTCATTGAAGGAAAACAAAATCTCTGTTAATTAAAGTTTTGGCAGAGTGTACTTAAAAAATTAAAATTCTACAAGGTCTCCAGTGCATTGGATGAAGCACCTATGTTTGGCAATTGTCACCGGAAAGTGTTCTGAGACACGTATCCACTGTAAGAATACTTACTTGAAGGGTTTTTTTTTGTTTTTTGTTTTTTGTTTTTGTTTTCTGTTGGTGTAAGAAGTGGCTTTTATCCCAGTGGAGCCCACAGCTTACTATCGACAGTTTGAAATGAAAGAGATGATGATTAGGTGGAAAATGTTGCTATGATTTAGATAGGGACTTGAAAAGAATGATTATGAGTTAGCTGATCGTGTGATGGATCGCTGGGATGGTTGAGAGAATATTTGAATGGCTTCAGTAGCTGTCATGCAACTTCAATTTTCCTGCTAAAAGATCGAATCAATACTAAAAAAACTTGCACATAGTCGAACTTTCTTACATTTTTGTTGATACTTGAGACCCCACAGCGGAGCGTGAACATTGTTTATCTATTGGCGAATCATCATCATCGTCCTTTTGTTTTTGACGATTATTGCATAAAGCTGTACAGATAGAAAGAAAACATAGGTGAAAGTTAATTGATGTTTTAAAAGTATGTAAGTCGAGAGTTTATTGTACTACTTCAGTTCATTGCCATAATTGCAGACCTTGAAAAACAGGAAAAAATTGATCTTTAGATCAGTTATACACTGAAAGTAGAATATATTTATAAAATCTTCATTACTTTAATCTGAGCAAAAACATAGCAATGGCCAAAGTTTAAAACCACATATCTCCAATACGCTATTTCAAAATTTCTACCTGCATTTTATTTCTTTGAAGAGAAATAGGTGAGTCGTCTTTGTAGCTTGAAATTTACACACAATACCTATATTCCGCTCATGGAGAAAAAAATATGAAGGAAGCTTTCAACAAATTACACTGACTAGTTTTCCAACGAAAAAGTAAAGCAGGTGAGTATGGCAGGATGTCTGCAATGTCGCAAATGGAGGTACGTGGTTTCGCACTTTGGCCATTAATATTATACTGCCTCCAAACCAAGTCTCTCACAGCTGGATGGAGGTGGAAAGACTGCAGTGTATATCCTTGTAGATTCAATCAGCATAATATCATGCCATCATCCTAGCAGGGGTAACCGGTATAATATCAGAAAGTAGAAGCCGCCAATTCACATTATGATATGATGCCAATGAACTTCATCAGGGGTTAAAGAAACATTGTGTTTTAATTCAGGTGCCTTCCAACACATTTTTGCCTCTGCTCAACATTTTTAGCGAATGGCCTGTGAATGGCCTCTTACCATCCGTTATGAAAACAAGCAATTAAAATTCAGTAGTTACATTTCAGAGTGCAGAGGCTGCTCATTAATTTTTTAATGCCCTCTTGGAGAAAAATATCCATTTTAAGTAGTCAAGTGCTTTCTGATCTGTTTCTACTCCCCTTTTTCTCTAAAGGGACTTGCAGGCTCTTTTAAATTATCTTCTGTCCTTCTCGTTCAACCAAAAGTTATTTTACTAAAAGGATTAATTTATTTGTTCACAGTTGCTGGGCAGGACAATTTGATGGACTTAAACAGAGAAGAAGTACGCTTTGTAAACAGGCGAATTTTGCCATCTCATGTTGCGAAGTACAAATTTCTGTTTCACGACTCCTTACCAAAGTAAGTCCTCTCTAGAAATATTATTAAGTCTTTTTTGTCTTTTTCTCTAACTTTCAAGCTTCTTAGTTTTTGTCTGCCTTTCGCCCCTCTCCCCCCATTTACGATGTTGGATTCTCTGCTTATTCTGAGTCCATCCTTCATTCGTTCTTTGTTTCTTACCTGTTTTCTTTTTTCGTTTGTTCCTGAAACAAAAGTAAAAACGAGATTTTATTTTCTTAGTATTAAGAGCATTCCTATGTCTTCTAAGAATTGTATTAAAGAATATGAATATTTTCAATGGCGCACTGCGCCAGTTGAGGATTTTCAATTTTACCGAATGCTTCTACGAAGATTCTGCAATAAATTTGAAAATGAAAGTTGAGTCGTTTTTTAGCTACTGCATCTTCAGTGAAGAAAAACTTAGCTTGTTCATAATGTTTTCAGTGTTCCAACTTCACCTCCAAGTTTTAGGAGCCGTTTGGCCCATCAAGTTCAATTTTTAGGGGCCATTGAAGATTTTTTAGGGGCCAAATTGAATTTTTGCCTATATATCACGGCGCATTTAGTGAAAAGTTATACGCTAGATATACAGTTACAGGACTTGCAAGTTGCAACTCGCAGCCATTACTTGGGAAAGGGAAAGGCCAAAGGAATGATATTCCGATTTAAAACAAGGAGCTTTTAGTTTACTTAAAGTTTGTTCAATTAAATAATACTTTTTCTGACTTCCTATTATGAAAAGTAGTAGAACGATTCTATAGTATGTACGATAAGTAGTACGATTCTCGATCTGCTGAGCCGCTGCCGCGACGAAGTTCCGCGCGCAACTGCTTGCTGTGCGCGTTCAGTCCAGGCTGACTGACAAAAATCTTGAAATCATCAAACCGTAATTTAGGATTGCTACAATTTTTTAGGGGCCACGTTTGGCGCAGGGTCTTCATTTTTTAGGGGCCATGGCCGATTTTTTAGGAGCCTTTGGCGACATGGCGCTCGTGGGGTTGGAACACTGAATGTTTTATGTTTTAATATAAGCCTCTAGCTGTTCTCTTTCGATCTCTCCCCCAAAGAGACCATGTCTATGGCTGAAGTTTGAAATGACGTATCTCCATTGCTATGGTTTAAATGTTTGGCTCCCATTTCATTTTTCAAAGAGAAACAAGCCAATTTTATAACTTGATATCAATACAGAATATTCTGCTAAATAGAGAAGAAAATTTAAGAAATTACTTTGACCAGTTTTCTAAAGAAAAAACAAAATATGACAGAAGTCTGCAACGTGTCAATACGAGATGTACAATTTCGCCTTTTGGCCATCAGTGTGTGGAATGTATTTTGGATGAGTTGATAGGGAAGTGATCTGCCTTGAGTTTCCACAGATTTGTTAGGGAAAGGAAATGTTTTGAGTTCCAATCAAAAAAACCAATTTCCTGATTAGGTGAGCAATTAAAAATTAAAGGAATTCATAAGTTTAGCAAAGAAAAAAGTTGTCATTTTAGAACTCGCCTTTGTTTAAGAAGACCACTCACCCACAGTAACAGATGTACAGCAAAGTAAATGCAGCAGAGACTGTTGATACCAATCCCAAAATCAGTCCTATTAAAGCAACGTCATTGAGACTTATCCTCTCCTCTGAAAGGAGATCGTCTTGATCTATATCTTCATACTCAGGTGGCTTAGAAATCGACCCTCCATCGTTTGTTCTCAGCGTTTGTCTTTGAGTATCAGTTCTTTTTGGACCTCCTTTCCTCCATAGATGAAACCGACTAAATGGTAACTGGAAGGCTGAAGATACCAGCGCATGATCATTTCTAATAACATAACAATATTAAAAATATTACGAAATATCATGTGATTATCCGGAGTGAATTATATCATCAAGAAATTGTAAGAAGCATTAGAATTAAAAGTATTGATTCTGTGTGTCTAAACTCTAAATCAGTCGTCGGTTCTCTTTTACCTCTTCTAATTTGAGAGGTTTAATTGCAAGATCAAACATTGATAAAATGTCACATTCCTCATTTCTAATGGGTCAGTGGCACCCACCTTTTTAATACTGTTTTTTTAAAAAAAAGAGTTAATTGAGCTTCGGAGAATTTTTTTAGATTTTTTTCTTGGCCTGAATATGGCAAAGAAACCCTGTTTTTGAAAATGCCAGAAGTGGGGCCTGTTTGACGCGATATTTTTTGCCGAGGACGTCACATCCATCCTCTGTCACCATTTTCCCCAAATGAACATCTGGAGCACAGAATTTGGAGTTTTTTTGACTACAATATTTTGACACCTATGGAATTTTTTAAAATTTTAGTCCGAGAAAGTAGAAACATGCTAAAAATAATAGAGCCTCTACGAATCGTTAAAAAATAATGTTATATCCATGCTCCATTGCCATTTTCTACAGATGGCAATCTCAAGCTCGGAATTTTGAGTTTTTCGAACTACAATATTATGATATTTTCGAAAATTTTTAAAATTTCAATCTAAAAAGTTATGAATGAGCTGTAAATAATGGAGCCTCTACGGCTGGTCAGAACAGTACGTTATATCCATGCCTTGGTGCCATTTTCTACGGATCATCATCTAGATTGCGGAAGTTTAAGTTTTTTAAACTATATGACATTTTGACACCTATGGCAACTTTTAAAATTTCGTTCTGAGAAAGTTAAAAACGTGCTATAAGTAACTAGATCTCAAAGCATTTAAAAAAAAAAAAAAAAAAAAAAAAAAAACCTTCCTGTCAATAAATGAAGCAAACAAATTGTTTTTGTAATCAATAGGGATAAAATAGTATTTTACTGAAAGAACACAAATATAAATTTAATTGCAAAAGGTTTTTTTTTAAATCCTCATTGTAGGCTACGGCTCACCATTTTATAGAATTAAGAGTAAAGAGTCTAAAATTCTGTTTAAACCTCTGTTTTATTTATCAGAGTACCTACTTTGGTACCTAACTTCTTAAAAAAAATAAATTTTAGCAAATATTCACCCTGCGTCAGACTGCTGTTTGTCTATATCCAGGAGAAGAGAGTCGATTTTTTTTTCAAGCCATTGTGCAATATCTTTGTTTTCGTTTTTTGATTTGAATTCATTTCGTGTCATGATAAGCTAGAAAGGAGAACCAAACATTTTAGTTAAATTTCAAAAGCTTATACAATTAATACTTAGCAGGCAATGTTGCTGTGACACTGAAAATAGAAATTAGTTGATTTTATGTAAGAATAGAACCCGTTTTTTCTTACTTTGGACAAAATAAAAAATCCTCCCATTTAAACAGATTTTTCGTGTAACTCCCAATGTTTTTGCTGAGTAGGTATAGTTATGTATGATTTGAGATGCCTCGCTATTGAATTGCAGGGTAATCGTCAAGAGTAATCTATCAGTAAATGGAATTCAAATTGGGGAAAAAAAATCAAAAAACCTATCCTAACTTTGAAAAACGTGTGCTTTGAAAAGTCATCTACGAAAATATCGAAATTGAATCAATTTCTGTTAGATGGGTTTTAGCCAAAAAATCGTGAGCCCTGGCTTTTGTTGATGACACCACAAATTAGGAGTTTTTGGCCCTACGTCCTTCTAGCAGAAATTGATTCAATTGGAATCCTTGTTGGAGTAGTTCTGTAGAAATGTGAGAAAGAATAAGAAGAAATAGAAAATGGTTCTGACTTTTACTTCTCCGATCAGATACTAATAGCCAAGAAATCGAGTGTATTTGTGGAATCATACCTCATGTCTAAGGTATCTAGCATAGTCTTTACGTTGTTCTGCTGGAAGAACATGTATGAGCTGCTGGCAGAGATTGAAGAAAAGAATGGCTTCCCGGAAATTTTTTTCATTGATTGGCAAGAAGTTATATCTTGTGCAAGCATCTACATCAGAGTAAAGATATGTATTTGGGGTCGGTTGTAGTTCTTCCATGGTCAAGCCCCAGCATGACAGAAGTATTAGGAAGCTAGTGGTCAAACGCATAGTTGCCCATATTGATGCTCACGAAGTCACTCCTGCCAAAGATAACAAATAGGATCAGTGCTCATGATCTTAGCAATTTTTATGATTATTTTCCGGAATTAGGTACTTCTTCACTGGCCTCTTTTTTCTTTCTTTTTTTCTTTTTTTTTCTTTTTTTTAGTACTGGATGATTCTCATGATTTCATGAAAAATACAAGTGAAATATGAGTACTGAGTACATTAAATGGTAATCCATATTACATGAAAAGAAAAATAAAACAGCTCTTGTCGTGAAATGACACACTTACTCGAAACATGTAAAAAACGGCTTTTTACCGGACAGAAAGAGGCGACCTTATCGCCTTGCTAGTCCCCCTTCAATTTTTAGTGTAGGCAGCCTGCGCTCACACGTGGTCGAAAAGTGGTATCACCGTAAATGTCACGCCTTAGATTACACATGGAACATTCTTCTACTAAATGTGCAGAGGTGATACTAACGCGTTGGAAGTTCGCCTACAATGTTCGGTGTAGGCAACACTGGCACCCACGTGGTCGAATAGTGTTATCGTAAAATGCCACGCTTACCTCGAATACACATCGACGTGAAAAGCGACTTTCACATGCAATTATAAATCTAGGCAAAATAATCCTTTGCACAAAGTTTCAAGCGGCCAGTTCATTTTCGTACACGCAGAGCGCGTACGATTTCATTGTAACCCAAGTAGCACAGTGCAACGAAAATATTGAAATTAAATTGCAATTTGATTTTGATACAATTGTATTTTTTTCCCATTAAATTGCGATATTTTTACAACTTTTAGTCGATTTATGCCGATTTTAAACGAACAACAAAATGAGCGGGAGGTTTGAATTCACGCGTCAAGAAACATTAAATTTCTTGGTTGGGAGTTAATTTCAGTAAATTTTGTTGCGCGAATCGTGTTCTGCGTAAAATTTTGTTGAAGAAACGTGTATCAGAATCCTTGACTCCGTACCTTGTCTAGTGGTCCATTCAGGGCCGGATTTACCTACTGGCCGCCTGTATTTTGCTGCCCCTTCTCATTCGTTTTGAAACATCTATACAAACCATCAAGTGTTCCACGGAGCCACGGAGGAGGAGGGTGCATAAGACGCGTTTACTCGTGTTGGGCACATCTTTTGTGAAAACCCCGTCAACACTATAGCCAAAGTTCACGGAACTTTGCGCGAAAATTAAGTTTTGTAAAAATATCTCTGTGAGGACGAATCCTTTCATTTTTAAGAAAAGAACGAAAAAATTATGAAAGAATAAACATTAATGTGGTTTAATGATTTTAATTTCCGCCACCGCGCCAACCGCACTGTGTTTGGCGCAATGCGTGAAGTATTCCTACAGTCTTGTAGGCGCTTTGCATTTCACGCTGACCGCTGCTGACTACACTGTTTTTGACGCAATGCGTGAAGTATTCCTGCAGTCTTGTAGGCACTTTGAGTTTCACACCAACCTATGCTGACCGCACTACGTTTGACGCAATGCGTGAAGTATTCATGGAATCTTGTAGGCGCTAATATGTGTTTCATGCTGATCGGCGCGCCGAGGGCTTCTCCTTTACATCTCAAGAACTCATCATCCTTGCCCCCTGCGCCGCGCCGCTTCAGGCTAAATTGCGTGTTTGGTTTCTCTCTCAACTAGACTAATGAAAGGCGCTGTCTCTTGTAACACCGAAAGACGAACAAATTAAAAATTACTATACTTTAACTCTCAGTAGAGAGATTTTTTCGCCCTCTCTAGTTTGTAATTTTTTTTCTGAATCGGATTTGTTTCTTGATACCTACATTTGAAAAAAATTACAACATTTGCCGCCATGTGCCGCAGCCCATGTGGCCACCCCCTAAATCTGACCTCGGGTCCATATTACAACGGATTTCATGAGAGAGAATTGAATTTTAACCTCTGATCCCTTAAGTTCTCGGTGACGCTGTAAGCCCTCAGAAATTACAGAACCAGAAATCAAGCGTTAGTGAATTCGACTAATCAGCTGAGCCCTTTATACACCTGTAAGTAGACCTTTAAGTAGACCTCTAAACTTAAAATCAAGTCAGAAACTTCAATAGAGATTACCTTCTAATGATTATCTTGCGTAGACTTGATTTCCCATTGAAATGCTCTTTGATCGAACTACACCATCTTTGAAGTTCTCCAACAAACTTTTTTATTATCTTACAACGTAAAACTAACCTCTAGGAAACCGCATCGTAAACAAAAAAAAATTGTAGTGTTTAGTCGCGTGGTAAACAGCTGATGTCCACCTGAAACCACTGTTGCCCGGCATTGTAAATTAACCGTTCAATTACGCGTAGCTAACAACTTGAACGTCTGGCGCTTACTTAATACTTACTTGTCCAGCGGGTCGATTGTTAAATCTTTTTCGAATGGCCCTACGGGCTAATTATTGAAATTAATAGACAAAGCTATAAACGAAGAAGACACGCTGAAAATAAAGCTATCCTTTTGGTGGAAATGGGAGGTTGCACGAGAGACCGATTAGTTAGTCCATCATTTTTCCCCTCAGTCCATAGTCTTAACCTAACCCACGACCGGAGTTCTGTTCTCACAACAGGAAAATTCTGTGGAACAGAGAAACTGCAGGAGCCCTGTGAACAGAAGGTTCTGTCGTCAGCAACATCTATTTTTTTCTATGAAGACGGAATAAGACGAGAAATCTGCAACGTCGCAAATGGAGAAACGTGGTTTCTCACTTGAGCCATCGATATCCTTACCGCGCAAGAGCAGTATTTTCCGTTTTCTGTGAATAATTGGCATCTTTTTCCGTCGATTTTAACCTCAATTTTTGTTTTGTTATTTGTCAAAAACATAACCACACGAGCTTGAAGAAGAAAGCACAGACCAACATTTTCATGCCTTCCGTGAAACTAAGTAATAAGCCCCCCCCCTTTTCCATCACTAAAGGTTAAACTTATCGATTGCTAATCACCGGAACAATTTCTCATAGTCTTTTGGATGACCGTCACCCATGTTACGGGCAATGAAAAAGTTTTTCCATAGAATTTTCAGCTTGAACTTTATCAGGTCCATTTTCACAAAATTTCATTTCTGGAACAACTGCTTTCTTGGATAACGCGCGTGGCAGTGGGTTTCCAAGAAGGTTCTCTTCTCACTCCGAGATGCACCCACTGCGCGATATATGAACGTTTCTGCAAGCTGCAAGGTGAATCGTTTCGCATTCACCTCATGCGAACAACACTGTTGGGTGGGTTATTGGTTTTCGCTTGCATGTATACGTCTGCTGAATGGCCACCATTTACGAATAGCACGCTTGATTGAGCCTTGTGCTTCACTCACGTTCTGTGTAAAAGCGGACGGTGGAAATGGTCATTCCTGCTCGACACCGGTGCGCGGCGCCGCCCAGAGACGCTCCCTGGCCCTGGGTCAACTGGAGGTCGCGAGCGACCCTTTCATGAGTGTCGCATCGCGAAAGGATCGCCAAGACTGTGACTGCTTCTACACGGAGGTAACGAAAGTTCGGTTCCTTGAACCGGAAGTACACTGGGGAAAAAAAACACACTGTATCTAGAGTCCAGGCTCTTAGAAACATTGACAAGAAAAAATACTCTTGATTCAAGCAGATTTAAGCTTAAATCAAAAGGAAATCCGCTCAAATTAAGAGGCTTGGTTCTTGATTTAAGCTTAAATCTGATTGAATCAAGAGTATTTTTTCTTGTCCATGTTTTTAAGAGTCTGGACTCTAGATCCAATGTGTTTTTTTTTCCAGTGTGCGGCGTCGCATATCGGTCGAACTATTCGGTTCGTGTAACCGTATACTCTTGGCTCCGAGAACCATGTGCAACCGAGCAGCCACATAAAACCGAACCAGAATAAGCTTGATAATATAAACGGAAGATTCGGTCCCCAGACCCAGAACCGATAGCACAGTCACATGAACTGAATCGTATTGTAGTGTCTATCGTCAGGAAACGCCGGAATATATCAGAAAAAATCTGGAAAATCGGTCTTTGATCAGGAAATTCTGAATGCGGCAAGCATTCTCTCGCCCACGTGCAGTTCAGAAAGTGAAGAATTTGACGCAATTCATTGAATATGTCGGGTTGTAAAATCAAACGAGTGTCGATTTATTCGCGACCCTACCTGTGACCTGATTATTGATATTGATAGACAAAGATATGAACAAAGAAGACATAGGGAGTATGGAGCGAGTCTATTTGTTAAAATGGGTGGTTTCTAGAGACTGAGGGAGAAAATGATGGACTCACTATAGAGTACATCTCGATCGTGGGTTGCCACTAGTTAGGCTACCTCCCTTGTCTATTGCAACCGCCCGCTTCCACCAATAGGATCCTTACATACACTTTTTGTCTTCTTTGTCTACAGTTTTGTCTATTCAACTTCAAGAATCGGCCCGCAGTGGCGAAAAACTCGACGGATCTTGCTGAATATCGGCATGATGATTCTTCTCCAAGATTCGAGGACGTATATTCTTCGCGGGCATATAAGTAGTGACGATTTTTGAAAGTTGGCAACAATGGGCCACGCCAATTTGAATGTTTTTGAAAAAAAATCAACACCTATTTTTCGAATCTAGGATTGATTATTTATACAGCAGCGTTAAAGGAAGGAAAACAGTGTTGCCATTTTGCGAGAATAGACATTTCCAGGACGCCTGTTAAGCCGTTCCTGTTTAGCGCACTTATGCGTTCGGCTCAACATAAGTAGATAACCATAAATCTAGCAAAAAGTGCTCGCCAGTATTCTGCCGTGCTAAGGAAAAACTCCGTATGAACCTTCAGGCGTCGCCAAATTTCCTTTGATAACACACGAATTTCCTGGTAAACTTAGGAATATTTCTCTTCCAATTTTTCAGATAATTGTTTTCGCAATTTTGCCTAAAGTTCCTGAAAATTTCTCGGACAAATATTCATAACTCTCCTCAAAAATAAACATTTTACCAAAGGAAATTTGGCAACTGTCGAATGTTCATACGGCGTTCTTCCTTAGCACGGCAGTATTGGCCCGAGTGGAGCGAAATTCCTCCCGTCGTGCCACAACTTTTGAACGCGCACTTGCCGGATCGCGTGAATTCCACGCTTTTAAAATCCGAAAATTAAGCCATTGTTTGCTTTATCTCGCAGCGACGACCACTTGTTGAGAGGTAGGAAGGCAGGGGGAGTGCAAACATCGTCGCTCCTCTGACGTAAGGGCGTCTCTGGATTTCTACGCGAGCCCTGTTCTCCGTTAAGCTCTAAACTTTCCGGGGCTCGCACAAGGAAATAGAGATACGCTCTTAGGTTGGAGGGCCGACGACATCTAGCGTCGAACTTTTAGTTGCCAGAGAGCACCGGGAGATGGCAGCTTTAAGTGGTTGAGGGGCCTAGGAGTGGGGGCCCGTGCCCCGTGGAGGGGACACCGCCACGCCGCACAGTGGATCGAGTCAATCAGTGTAATAATAGTATTAGTATTAGTAATAGAGAAGGATAGGTAGAATAATATATATATTAATCATTAGCAATAGAGAAGGAGAGGTAGAATAATATATAAAATTTTTATCTACAACTGCCAATTTTGATGTTTATTTCGTCACATTTTAATAATAAGGGGTACTTTTTGAAGGAAATTTCACGAGGGAACCAATGGAACCACTTTTAGAACCTCAAAGTTTTGTAAAAGCGGAGTTATAAGTGTTTGAAGTTTCCGAATTTTGTCCGACCTCTCGTATTGACTCGATCTTCTGTGCGGCGGGGCTTGGATGGGGCAGGGGGCCCCGAACGGAATCAGCCGCGACCAGACCAGCCTGGCAGTAGAATTGACCTTTAAACACAATTACGACTACTAACACTCGAACCTGGGGGGCGGGAGGTGGGGGCGGGGGAAAAAATTGACAGCGCGCAGCCGATGTCGGGCCCGACGCAAAGTGAGCGGACACTTAAGTTTCGGTGGCCTGGAAGTGGAGGAAATGATCGGTTTGTCACCTTACATGACCGCTAATGCGTTTTTCGCCCCTCTCCCTGTTGCCGCACCTTCCACGCATGTGCGGTATTTTCAGTGGGGTTGCTAGTGACTTGGAGCATGGCGTGGACGATTTCATGACGATTGAATTTTTTTGAAATTCTCCCGCGAAATTTCAATGAGCCGTCCAATCGGAAAACTGTAATTAATGGCTATTTTTCATGGAATTTATGAAATCTTTTGAAATTTCACGTGAAAAATTAAGAGCGATCTCAGCTTGCGGGCTGATTATTGAAATTGATAGACAAAACGATAGACAAAAAGGACACAGGGAGTATGGAGCGATCCTATTGGTTGAAATGTGCGGTCCCTGTAGACGGAGGGAGAAAATGATGGACTAACTATCGGGTTTCTCGTGGGTTGCCGTTAGTTAGTCTATTACCTACTGCCTTTGTCCATTGCAACCACCCGCTTGCACCAATAGGATCCCTCCATGTCCCTTTCGTCTTCTTTGTCTATCGCTTTGTCTATCAATCTCAATAATCGGTCCGCTGGAGCATATAAGAAATGTAGGAATCCGTAAGAAAAATTGAGTTTTTGTGATGAACAACAGACGTCAAGAAAATTTAGCGTTTTCGTCCTTCTTACCAAAATAGAGTAATAGATTTTCCTCTGATCTTTGTCGTCAAAATTTTATGTCGATTGTTTTAATGAAGGTAAAGGGAGGTAAGCGGAAATGGTTGAAATCAAGGAATATTCAGAAAGTGTTATTTATTTATTTGTTTCGTCTTTCAGTCTCCCATGCCGTTCACCCCTCTTCCGCTCTGTACTCGAGAAGAACAACGCCTAATATTTGTCTACAGACCCAAATTTTTAAGACGAAGGGAGTATCCACTATTCGTGCAATTATTTCAATCGATCGTATTGCAAAAACGCATGAGTTAAAGGAGCGGAATAGGTACTTCTTAAATGTAATTCTAAACCAATTTTTTTTACAATATGAGACCGTCGCGCCGTAGGCCAAAAAAAAAAAAAAAAAAACCAAGCCATATGCACCGCTGGCAATGTGAGAGCAGGAGGCTCGGCGTGACAAGAAATTATGAGAAAAGATAATTGTCTCTTTTTCTTTTTGTTAATTAGATACTTACAAATCTGCAGGTGGAATAAAATGAGCCCGAAAAATCCCAATGAGGTGATGAGGTTTTGAGTGATTTATGACCCAGCAGGGCCAGTAATGCCGTGCCAAGGGAAAACGCCGTACGAGCAT